TCATTTTTATTTATATACCGCCTTTTCACTGCAGATCTGAGTCTCAAAGCGGTTTACAATTGTTAATTATGGGCATTTGTCTCTCACTCCACTCAGAGATGGGAGCGGGGTCGCCAGTACAGGAGGCGCATGCCAGAACTATTGGACATATTTTTAGTGGTAGGGGAAACCGGAGCACCCGGAGGAAACCTACGCAGACACGGGGAGAACATGCAAACTCCACTCAGAAAGGCCCTGGTCCGACCGGGATTCAAACCCAGGACCTTCTTGCTGAGAGGCGAGAGTGCTATCCACTCAGCCACCGTGCCACCCAGGAGGGCCAGCTCCACTCTGGGCTGTCCCCTGGACTCTGTGGAGGAGGTGAGGGACAGGAGGGTGCTAGTCAAAGTCACCTCCATCATGGACCACACCTCCCACTGCACAGGACTGTAGAGGAGCTGAGGAGCTCCTTCAGTGGAAGACTGAGACACCCTACAGCAGGGCCTTTATCCCCACCGCTATCAGACTGTCCAATAAGTCACTTTAAGTCACTGTATCAAGACTGAAAAAACCTGCAATAATTGACACCGTTTCTTGATTGCCACTTTTTAAAGTGCCACCTTTATTGTACATAATATATATATATATATATTTCTTTCTTTTTTCACAATCTTGAGTGTTTCTATCCATGCCAGATGTGACATGTACATTTCTCCTGTGTGAGATCAATAAAGTATATCTTATCTTATCTTATAAACATAAATGACATCAAGGACTAATTCTGATGTATTTCCATGTCAAATTCTCCTGCCTGAATCTCGTCTCCGTCCATTATTGACCCCACGGTGGTGGAAATTGCTGTCAAAGAACCGAACGCTGAAGAAATATTGTTAAGGGAGGCATGTCCAGACGGAAAAGAATTACAATCTGACGCAAATTGACTTAGTCTGTGTCTCTGGAGAGCTCATTTAAACTTGTAGGAGACAGGTCAGATCACACCACTGCTGCCAAACCCATAGAAACCAGGATTTCTGTCATTTCTCCATCGCATTTTCTGTATGCACCTTGGCACGCTCTTGTCTCCTACTGCTTTGACTTTTGAGCATCACACAGAGAACATCATGTAACTGGCCTGGAAAGGTGTCAAGATTATTCGCAGATTAGTGTCACGATGTGGGAAACCGCATAAAGTGATCTATCGCACTTTTTATGCGAGGCCGGTTGTCCAGGCAACGGTTAAGGCTGAGGGGAGAGAGGAGATTCACTGGACACTGGGGCTAGAGGGCAGGTCTGCGTGTGTGCTCCATTTATACACACAGCCTGCAGACCTTAGTGATTTAATGAGTGTTTACCAGTCAGACTGCAGGCCCACTCCCAGCATGCATTGTGCCACACTAGCGCACCAGCTTGGCACGCGCTAATCTCACTATAAGCAAGGGGCTGCCATTAGGAAACCAGACACAGGCAACTTTGTGCGTCTTTCTGGTGGACGGCCTAAAAACAGACTCAGGCCGAGGCGGATAAGAGAGAAAGATAATGATGTTGGTTTAATGTTGAGTTTGTAATTTTAAGTTTTGGATTTCGCTAATTATACTGACAACGAGTGCGCGTCCAAGAGTAGTGTTTACAGGAATATCAAGATCACCATTTCATTGTAGGGGCTGGAAACGATCAACATCCATGATAGTTTTGAATAACACTTACTACACTGACTTTATGGTAAAATTATTGTTGAAAGATACAATGAAGAAATACTTTTAATGGAATATTGTGAAAAGTGTTTTTTTGTTGTAAATTCATAAAATACATGTTAACATTTTCAATATATTAACACAAATATTTTAATAATGATTGATTCATTAGTGATTTTTTTTTGCTTTCTGAAATAAGTACAATCTTTGTTATTAACTTATTTACAATATAATAATCTTTACCCTCCAAAATAGAAATAAAAAATATAATGTCTAAATCAGACTTGGAAATTCTTATCCATGCTTTTGTCTCCAGTAGGTGAGACTATACTGTAGCAGCCTGCTCACTGGTCTCTCCAAACCAACCAGCTGCACTTCAGAACACTACGGGCGGGACGGTGGCTGAGTGGATAGCACTCTCGCCTCTCAGCAAGAAGGTCCTGGGTTCGAATCCCGGCCGGACCAGGGCCTTTCTGAGTGGAGTTTGCATGTTCTCCCCGTGTCTGCGTAGGTTTCCTCTGGGTACTCCGGTTTCCCCTACCACTAAAAATATGTACAATAGGTCTGGCATGCGCCTCCTGTTCGGCGACCCCGCTCCCATCTCTGTGTGGAGTGAGAGACAAATGCCCAAAAAAAAATAACAATTGTAAACCGCTTTGTGACTCTGGTCTGTGAAAGGCGGTATATAAACAAAGCTTACTTACTTACTTACTTACTTAAAGCTCCAGTTCTGACGAGAGGAAGTAGGATCACAATAGTCTCTACATGGCCTCGCACCAAAGTACATCTGTCACATGTTAGTGCCATATGAAGAAAAAACTACTGGTCTTTTTCCATTTTCTTTGGATTATCTCTGGGATTATTGCCATATCTGTTGTAATATGATACAATTGTAGCTAGGTAGGTCACAGTCACTTCTCGGCCTAATTAACGACATATCATGCTCTTTACGTAACATCAGCAGAAAAGTGGTCACAGCAAAGGCCCAGCAGGCTCCGCTCGGACCGCGAACGCCGTTAGCCATCGCCACAAGAAAGATGAACCAACAAAGTAAAGTGAAAAGTCGTGAAAACACACAGAAACAAAATCAGACCCACAATCCACTGGTCGATCCCCTTCCCATGCTGCGTCCAGTGCAGCAGTTATTTGTCACCCACCCACTGTCTCATCCATCGCAACGAAACGCAGCTAAAAGCCCCCAGAGCGCCCACTTCCTCTTACGGGCTGTCATACCATTAACCGGGACCCCCCCTCCCAGGTCTCCCCCCTCCTCCATCACGGGACCCTCAGCCTCTCCCTCCCTCTCAGCCTCAGCATCCATCAAATCGAGCTCGGGATAATGATGCCCGCTTTGTCACAAGCACCTACTGCGATTTATGGCAATTGTGGATCAGAGTCGGAGAAATGGATCCCAACTCTCCGCCGCGGCCTGTCCTTGTTCTAAAGCGCCGTTCACCCACGCGGTAATTACCCCTAGCGCAGGACGTGTGTGAGAGCGGGACAAAGACGCAAGGACGAAGGGGCCATGATTAAGGTAATAACAATGTAGCTCACGGAAGAATGAAAAATGGCGTATGAAGTTGTAGCGTAGAGAAATTTGAATATGTTTAGAAAATTGTAGCTAACCTTGTTCTCAAAAATGTTGGGTTCCATCACTTGCTAACGCATGCATGAATCTTCAGGCCTCTGTCACATCTTTAGATCAGCTTTTTTAGACTGAAAAGTGACAAAAAGTCTCAGTCTGAAGCGTAAAGTAGTGACTCGCAGGCCACATATGGAAAAGGCAACAGGAAAATAAAATTATAGTATATAATTTTGTGTAAGCTCTCAGTCACGCAGGGATCATTCAAAAGAAAGGAAGGTTGCTCACCCATCATCTTCACTTCAGTTAGCAGGTTTTCATGAATTATGTTATTCATTTTGGACATTATTCTTTAGAAAGTGAATTCAATCAGGGGTGTTGAGGATGTAAAACCATGGCTTAAGTTACAGCTCCAGTTTTACATCAAATTGAGTGAGAGGATAAAAATAAAATAGTGGGATTGATCAGAGAGAACCTTGTGATGCTTTCAAAGGCGTCTCGTCAGTAAGTAAGTAGTAAGTAATGTTTATTTATATAGCGCATTTTACAGACCAAGGTCACCCGAAGCGCTTTACAATGTTCCGAAATCAGATATTGTTCCATTCTCTCCACACGGTGATTACAGAAGCGAGACACCGAACACACTGGAGCATCAAAGCCTCTGTTAAGGGGAACCGGAGCACTCGGAGGAAACCTACAAAGACACGGGGAGAACATGTAAACTGCACCCAGAAAGGCCCTGTTCCGGGATTCGCACCCAGGACCTTCAATCTTAGTTTATTAAAAATGCTACGGTACATACTACAAATGCAGATCTTGTTACTTTTTTCATTTGATTTTTACACAGACTCAACTTCAGCAGCACAAGCCTTTTCATTTTCACAGCACAATTAAACGCATCATAATTCCTGCTTTTGTCTCATGTAACATAACCAAAATAAAACAATGAAAAGGGTGCAGAAGGACTGTGTGCTTCATCACATTTAAACAGTAATATCTGCACGGCTTTTCTTTGAATTACTCAAAACCGAGAAAGAGCCATGTGGGTCACTGTGTGCCTCTTTGAGCTGAGAGCTGATTGGCCACTGTAGGGCGTTAAACTTGTGTGTTTTTTGATCATGGGCAAACATGAATTTAACTTAGTTTTAATGGGATAGTGTATAATAAGGAAAATAAGAGGAAACCTATACAGACACGGGGAGAACATGCAAACACCACATACATATATATATATATATATATATATATATGAAATGACAAAAGTTAGGCAATCCATCTTTAAATCCATCCAACTGTATAGGTTTCCCCCATAGGTGCCCCTGTTTCCCTTTCTTTTCCTTATGTGTGCTTTGTCCCGACAGAAATGATCAAATACATACATTTCTATCATAAGGATGCTCTTCAATGCGACTGCTATAATAATGCTTTGCGGGTCTTTGTATGTGTTTTTGTTCTGTTTTTATACTTTATTACTATTATTATTCAAGATTTTCATGATTATTTTTTTAACGAAGAGGAAGAGAGGGGGGAGGATGTAAAAAGTGTCTTGAAAATGACACAAAGTAAAAAAAATGGTTTCGAGAGCAGCATTTTTCCTCATAAGCTGTTTTACTGACAGCTTTGTTCTGTATCAAAAGGACAGTCGTATTGACTGGAGGATCACGTGCACACACATGCTCCTATAACTGCGAACGTCTGCTCCAGGGGGGAGCTCCATGATGCAGCGTATTTGAGCTCTGCAGTGCAGCATGAGCTCATCCCTCCCTCTCTTCCCCTCAGACCTCCCTTTCCTCCCCACTCCTCTCACTCCCCCTCAGACCTCCCTCTCCACTCCTCTCTCCCCCTCATTCCTCCCTCATACTCTCCACTCACTTACCCTCATCTCTCACTCACCCTCATCCCTCCCTCTCCTCACCTCTCACTTGCCCTCATTCTCTCCTCTCCTCCTTCCTTCTCCTCCCCTCTCACTCACGGACATGCCTCCCCCTGTCCTCTCCCCCTCTCCTCACCCCTCACTCACCATTACATAAGTGAATGCAGCACATGCGTGGTCCACAGCCTGATGTGCAGCTCACACTCATTTGATTCAATAATTATACTTGTTCAAATGCAAATCCACTTTATTTAAATAGCATAATTCATACAAAATGCTTTCCAAACAGCGGGACAGAAGTTTAAAACAAGAAAACCAGTCAAAGTAAAAAACAATTAATTAATTAATTAATTAAAAACAAGACCATGGATTTAAAGGTTTGGGTTTGCTCCCACTTTAGATACTTTTATCCTTTGTCAAAAATGTTAAGTCAAAGTTTCAGTTTCTCCCATACTTTGTAATGAGTGATGTCACTTCGCTTATGTTTGAACAACTTTTACACAACGTTACAAAAAATCAGGAATAAGATGGACAGTGGAAGATTATCACTCCACAAAAATTAAATTCAAATACATTTTGTTTTTGTAGAAATCATAACAGCAGTCGATTCTGAGGACTTTACAAAGTTGTCAATTCGCTGAGATCAGAGAATCAGTTCCAACACAGGAAATGCAATAATAACAAACACTTAGGAGCCTTTGGTCTATAGGGAGCGGGATGACCCATGTCCATAACTGTCCTTAGAACCCCCTTTATCGTCACGGAAACACCCAGTGAGAAAAAAGCTCCAATGAACAGACTGGCTATAGACCCAGGACTCGGGCTGTAGAACAAGGACTGAGGCTGTGGTGCAGGACTGAGAAGTTTCACAGACACTTAAAAGGTAAACACGACGGAGCACTCTTGAGTGACCGCAGACGGCAGAGCCCACAGGGGGCACAAGGCTCTACTTCTGTTGATGGCTGTTGCCTCGGCCCGGCCTCTCATGCAAGAGAGATTCTGAGGCTACATCCACACAAAGTCAAGATGCTTATAGTTTAAGAAATGTTTCCTGTAAACACGGAATCAGCTCAGTAAAGGTCAGCTGGAGAGGAGGTAGATTGTCATGAATAGTGTGGTTAATATTGTGGATGTGGTTTTAAAAGATTCTTGTAATTTGGAGTATAAAATAACAAAATAGGAGAATAGCAGTTATGTATTTGTCGATACTTTTTGGAAAATTGTACAGAAGAGACACGCACCAACTCCAGCTTTACTAGGCTGCAAAGGGACGAGGTGTTGCCCTGCGTCTGATCTCATAGGGACTAAACCAAAACCAACCAGTGGATTTGGTCCAGGTTTATTTATTAATTATGTATCGACCTTTATTTAACTAGAAAGATAGTTGAGACTTCCGAATCTCTTTTTTAGGGGAGTCCTGGCCCTAAAAAGTGCGGAGCTATTAACATGTTTATAGTGGTCAGGGAAAACGGAGCACCGGAGATCAAACAACATAGACACGGGGAGAACATGCAGCATCCACTCAGTAAGGCTTTGTACCAACCGGGATCTATACACAGGACATCCAGGCATAGAAGCAAGATTGCTCACCACTCAGCCACTGTGCTGCCCAGCTGCTTCTGTAACACACAGGCTGTCTCCACAGATGTATTGATGGCATTGAAAAAAGTTTAATGCAGAAAATTACATTTAATCCTTTTTAGGCGCCAGGGTTTTACAGAAATGTTATATGAAACAGGCAAAAGGTGGGGCCTAGAAACTGTACAAGAGAAAGAGGTCTACACTCCAAAAAAACTAATACAATATGAGGCAATAATGAGTTTTTATCTTAATTTGAGAACATTCTTACTGACATATGCAAATCTTGATTTAAGGCAGTCAAAATGTGCTCAAATTAAGATACATTTTGCCAATTTTGGGCATTTTTTAACTTATTTTTTTCACTTTTTGCAGTGTACTAAAATCCAACCACACATTTTTCACTCAAAACATTACTATTTCAACTCCATAAGGACTCCACAGCAACTGACATTCGAAAACACAAAAATAAATGGAATCTTCCTGCTGTCAAATGTCATTCTAAAGACTCCAGCGATGTCTTCATAAGCATTTGTAGTGCGTTTTCCTTCAGACATGCACACATTATATCCTCTCTCGCTCTCTCTGTCTTGAAGGTGGCGTTCTTCAGCATCACAGTAAACAAACCGCCTCCCGTACATCATTACCATTTCAAAGCAATGGGGCTTAAGAAGAGCAGGGCACAGACACTGCAGCAGCGGCAAGACTCCAACAACACTCAATCCTCCATGAAGTTACTCCCCTGCAGCAGTGCAACCAGCCAGGGATGCAGGGAAAGTAGAAGACCAGACCAGACTAGACGATGCATGACCAATATCACATCCAAAACATTTAGCGCAAACTAGACTTGTCCAGGTGAATATTAGAAGCCGTTGCCCTGGGAGCAGAGGAAGTGAATTATGCATGGGGTTTAGGCACTGCAAATGGAGTGACTCAATAATAGATTTTTGGATTAGTAAAAGTAACAAGACGTCTCACTGGTGGAACGTAGGGTAGTGGAAAAATCGAAATGTATTGACCAAAATTAACGTTTATAAATAATTGTTGTGGGATGGAGAGTCAAGTGTTTCTTGGAGTGTCAAAGGTGAGTTTGAAATATAATATTGTGACAACGCCAGAAGAAATGAAAATGAAACCAATTTTACTGTGTATGTTGTTGGACAAATGCAAAACTTGATTGGTATTGGTGAATCTTGGAAAATAAGAATATTTTCCGAAAGTTAATTTACTTAGGAAAAATCAACCAATAATGTGAAAATAATGGCAAACTTATTATATATTTGAATTTTGGCTCACAGCTGTAAAAATAAAACACCTCAGAAACATCTTGCTAACACAAAGTTGTTTTTGAAATCAAACACAAGCTCACGGAGTCATCCAGCCAACTTCAGCTCTGGAATTCACTCGTTAACCTTATTTTTTATACTCACATTTGTTTTTTACTGTGTCACAAAGACTAATGTAGCTGTGGTATGATAACTTTGTGATAACTCTATTTCAAATCCCAGAACACCCCAAATCCAATCAAAATGGTTTTACAATCCATGTTGTCGGCCCCTGGAGTAGTCGAGTGAACTAAAGAGTCCCAATTACTAACAAGTTTGGACACCCCTGGTTTATTTCATATATTGGTTTCACATTGTATGTAGAATTACAGAGATAAATTAACTTTATTCAGCTGTATTCATAGAATTTTCTGCCGACGTAAGAAGATATAACAGTGATGGCGTCATGGGTGAGAATAAAAAAATAAATAGATTGCTCTAATATTGACTTTGAGAATGTAAATAACAAAGGAAAAACCTATATCTTGTGTTGTGTGCTCTTCATTCCTACTATTCTCTAACTTGTGATGCAACACAAAACATTTCTACTGTGGGACGTCATCCAATAAATACAATTGCAAGACCAAATTAGCAGTTCTATAATTAGCGTTTAAATCGAAAATGAGAGAGATCAATGATGTGAATAGAAAACTTTTCAAATGGCCAAAGTTTGTTGTTCAAAGAGTACTCGTAAATAGCTTGGGGACGGCGAATCTTGCTGCGTAAGCCTATTTTCTACACAGACCGGTCTCTCGAGGGTTGAAAAAAAGCAAGTCTGAGAAAAACATGATCCGAGGCCTGAGAGACATCAATGTCTCAAAATCAGTCTGAACATTCTGCACCAAACCAAACAACTTGTGCTGAGACATGTCTAAAGTTTTCCAAATCAGGAGTATTTTTTGCTTTACCGCATCGGAAAGCCTGTCTACTTTGGCACATGACGCCTGTTCCATAACAAAACCTCACCTCAGAAACCCCGAAATATTAAAAAGCCGAGCTGCGGCCTTTTACCTTATATGCAGTTAAAGCCGGGTCCCAGTTATTTCCAGTGTGAAGTGGTGAGGCTGATCTGCGCAGTGCCCAGAGCGTTGCGGTGACAGGAAGCTCTGGCCGGGCACGTATGAATAAGTCATGTTTCTGACACAAAAGCAGAGAGGATCAGATGTGACCGGCCCGGTGTCACCGCCACCGAGTCATGAGGCCCACACGCACTCACCGACTATTTATGTCCGCACTGTACGGACTACTTTTGTGACACTTGTCCAACATCATATGCAAAAAGGTTGTTGATGTTTGGAGGCTGTCATTTCAGTATTTTGGACAGGGAACAATACAGCTCAATGGGAAATGAACCCTAACCCTCACTCAGAAATGATAGGTTTTTCCAGATAATTATTTGGCTTGGTTTGTGATCAGATTCACCAACACAGATGTTATTCCTTTCTACTGGCATCTCACATGTTTGAGATATGACACCACTTTTAAAGAGAATAAAGTGAAAAAAAAAATAAAAAAAATAAAAACTGTTCGACCATAGTTGATAGAGACCAGAGAGAGAGAGTGAGAAAGAGAGAGAGAAAGAGAGAGAGAAAGAGAGTAGGGCCAGAAAGAGAGGGAAAGAGAGAGAATGACCAGAAGAGAGAGAGAGAGAGAAGGACCAAAGAAAGAGAGAGAAGGACCAGAAAAAGAGAAAGACAGAATGACCAGAGAGAGAAAGAGAGAAGGACCAGAAAGAGAGAGAGAAGGACCAGTAAGAGAGAAAGACAGAAGGACCAGAGAGTGAGAGAGTAGGACCAGAGAGATAGGGAGAGCGAGAGAAAGAGAGAAGGACCAGAGAGAGAGAGAAAGAGAAAAAGAGAGAAGGACCAGAGAGAGAGAGAAGGAGCAGAAAGAGAGAAGGACCAGAGAGAGAGAGAGTGGGGCCAGAGAGAGAGGGAAAGAGAGAGAATGACCAGAGGGAGAGGAAGACAGAGAAAGAGAGAGGGGGAGAGAGAGAGAGAGAGAGAGAGAAAGGCCAGAGAGAGAGAGAAAGAGAGAGAAGGACCAGAGAGAGAGAGAGTGGGGCCAGAGAGAGAGGGAAAGAGAATGACCAGAGGGAGAGGAAGACAGAGAAAAAGAGAGGGAGAGAGCGAGAGAGAAAGGCCAGAGAGAGAGAGAAAAAGAGAGAAGGGACCAGAGAGAGAGAAGTACCAGAGGGGGAGAGAGAGAGAGAAGGGAGAGCGAGACAAAAGAGAGACAACAGTTTAAACAATAT